GTTTATCACATACAATCGTGGCATTTCTGAGCGTCTACAGGTTTGGGGTCATTAAAAATTTTAACTGCTTTGAAAAGCCTTATTACTACAAACATAGCATAATGCCTGGATATAATGTGTGGGAAAACGAGACCTATAGGCTTAGGGCGAGTTTTTCCACGTTATTCGAGTTCTCCCAAACTACTACAAGTGTTTCTATAACTGTATGGGTCACACATAATAAATGTTTTATATTTATTTCATAATATAACTAAAAAAAGATTTGTAGTAGATTCGATATATTTACAAATTCTCATTACGTAATAATACCGACCTTTGCTTTATCCGAATTTCACTGCAAGAAACCCTTTTTGCCTTTATCAGCAAATATCGCTATAAGCCTAATTTCGCAACTTTTATGCAAAGAATCTAACGAAAGGTGTATCCTTTGCTACAAATTGACGTATATAAAGAAAAGAAAGGGAAATTCTACCGCGATATTTGCCGATAAAGCGGTATTAAATCACTACAGAAAAAATAGAACAAATTACAGAAATACAAAACAAGCCAGAAGCGGAAGTGGGAAGGTTTTTGTATTTTGACTGTATTAAACAATTCTTAATTGTTTTGTTTACGATTGTAAGTTTAGGCGGGAAATTTCCCGCGTAGAAACACGCTTCTCGACCAATCAACGCACGCGTACTATAAATGTTCTATTTTATCATAATTTATGCATTTGGTACGGCTCATGTAAAGCACGGCAGCATAAATCAACATGTGCTTCAGCCGTGTAGCACGCCTGAACCAGGCGAACTTATTAATTTAGCCGTGCTTAATATTAAGTGCAGTGCTTAATTGATTTAGACGCCGTGCTTCTCATGTGCTTAATTCAATGTATTAAGTTCGGCTCATGAAAAGCACGGCGTCTAAACCGGGCCTTAGGGTTAGTAATCCAAGTGAGTATATATACATTTTAAGACCTGACCAGGAACGACTGCGAAAAATGCAGCACAAGGTCCTCTGGTAGGAATTGAACCTACGGCCCTGCGAATCCGGTGCACCCGATCACCTATATATATATATATATATATATATATATATATATATATATATATATATATATATATATATATATATATATATATATATATATATATATATATATATATATATATATATATATATATATATATATATATATATACGTCAGTCGATACTATACTATACGTCAGTTAGTCGATATATATATATATATATATAACTCAAATGGGCGATCCGTTTGAATGCCTATGGGTACGTCAGTTAGTCGATAGTGCAATCTAATGGCAATCCGTTTGAATGCCTATGGGTAAAAATTACAACTGAAATCTCCAGTTTTAATGTTGCAGCTGTATACCATCCTCCCGACCATAATTATAATGCAGACGATTTAATAGAATTCCTAATGGACTCGTACGAGCAGTTATTATCGGAAAACCCTAATACGAAGATAATTATTACTGGAGATATAAACAGATTGAATATTCGCGACCTACTTAAGCACTCCAATCAATACCAAATGGGCGATCCGTTTGAATGCCTATGGGTACGTCAGTTAGTCGATAGTGCAATCTAATGGCAATCCGTTTGAATGCCTATGGGTAAAAATTACAACTGAAATCTCCAGTTTTAATGTTGCAGCTGTATACCATCCTCCCGACCATAATTATAATGCAGACGATTTAATAGAATTCCTAATGGACTCGTACGAGCAGTTATTATCAGAAAACCCTAATACGAAGATAATTATTACTGGAGATATAAACAGATTGAATATTCGCGACCTACTTAAGGTGGCTCCCTACAGTTCTCTAAAATTCTAGGTATTTTGAGTATCGTTCGCTTTGAACCGAATTTATATTAGATACACTTAAGACAAGGCAATATGATCATTTCCAGGAAAGTTCAGAAGCTGTGTGCTGTCTATTTATGAACAAATTAAAACAGTGTTTGTGTTGCCATGGCAACCATGACGTGTAATCTTTTGCACTTTTATTGCCTAATTTCACAATAAATGGACAATATTTATATTTTCCTTCGGTGAATTTTTCTGAAATTTTTTTTGACGATTTATGGTCCATAAAGGAAAAACATATCAAAATTTGAAGGGAATTTATAAATAAGTTTTCGAGATATTCGTGAATGACGGTTACAGAAAAAGTTATTTATAGAATTTCTTAAAATTTGGATATGTTGTACCATTCCTCTTGTTTAACAAAAATACAAAGTTTAAAAAAATTTCACCGAAGAAAACACGAGAAAATCATCGCTAAAATCGGCGTGGCCAGCATGAAAAAAATCGACTCGACATGAGCACGATCTGCGCATGCGTGTAAATTGTAGCGTGTGATTTATAGTGATTTCAACTTTTTGGCTTACAATACATAAGAAAACAGATATTTCTGACTTGTTTGACATGAAAATAAAATATTAATCTTGAAAATACTAATAAAAACACTATTATAGGCATTGTATTAAATCCAGTGTTAGTTTACATTTGTTTTTGTTGTTAAAATCGGTGTGAAAACTTTTCAAAACGTCGAACTACAAGTTTAACTTTTCATATAAAACAACTCATAACTGTTTTATTTGATTTAGCAGATAAAACGATACCTGTGAATTGAATTGATTGACAGAACTTATATAAGTTTCGGCAACAGTTCACTACTGTTCAAGAGTTAATAGAAGACAGTATCATTTCAGTTTGACAGCTCGCAAAACAACAAGTTGAAAATTTTGAGCAATATGAAAGACAATACTGAACCTAAATACGTAAAAACACACTAAAAGATAGGTTAAACTAGTTAATAACATACGTACTGTTCGAATTCAGAAAAAAATAGGATTATAATGAAAAACTAGGGCTTTCTTTGTAGATAAAAACGCCAAAAAACTTCCCACGGCTTGTTTCAATATTTTTGCCGAACAGTAAACACGACGATTCCACGCGCAGGTCGCGAGGATGAAGTCTGATCTATATAAATCGTATTTAAACTGTACTAACTGTAGGGAGCCACCTTAATCAATTATCTTTTGCACAGTTGGTTAGATCATCTACAAGAGGTAACAATATCTTAGATGTTTTTGTCACAAATGCTCCTCACTACTGGAAGGAAATAAAAGTTAAGAAAAGTTTGGTAAGAACTGATCATAATATGATTATTGCATGCATACTTGAGAAACATTATAAAAGCAAAAAGAACAAATTCATTCTTTAGGGATGTGAGAGAACATAGAAAATTAAACATGCTAAGAGAACTAGAGAATGTGGACTGGTCCAAGATAACAATATATGACCAAGCCCCTGATGAAATGGTGAAACAACTTTATGAAAGTCTCTGGCCGAGATTTGAAAACAATTTTCCACTGATAAAAGTCCGAACCTCGTCACGCGATCCACCATTAATGTCCCCTCTCGTAAAGTATTTGTTGAAAAAAAGGAAGAAAGCTATAGGCGTAGGTGATGAAGAATCTACTTTTCGTCTACAAAATCAAATTAACACACTAATTCGCGCCATTCAACTTAATGCTGTTCAAAATGAGAACCAAAATCATAAAACTGAAACAAAGAAATGGTGGAATAATGTTAATAACATTACTGGCAGGAAAGAGAAAAATAGGTACGCGACGCGTACATGTATCTGCGCATAATGCATTGATTTTCGAATTTTACACAACTCGTACCCAGGTTCTCAATCTTCGGCCCTACCTCGCTTGAATTGAGACCCTGGTATCGGCTGGTCACGTGAGCTGTGATATTTTGGCGGATTTGCTCAATAGTTTTTAAGGAAAGGATAGTAATTGAGATGTTTTGTTTGGTAATGTTATTTTAACAATATTAATGTTTACTACAATATCTACTTTAGTTACTATACTTTCTGCAAAACAACTGAGCAAATCCGCCAAAATATGAAGGGTCACGAGAGCAGCCAATATAAGGGTTTCAATTCAAGCGAGGTAGTAGGGAAGATTGGGAACCTGGGTACAAGGTTGTATGTTGCATTGACGGAATCACATTTTCACAGTAATTGTGCGGAATTGTGCTATTAGAAATTATATGCCTACTTCAGGCATATAAATTACGAATATTTACATTTAACCAGTAACTTAAGAGGATGAGTACCATTTATATCCCAAATGCAATAATAATGATACGAAAATAATGTTTCTTTTTAACTGGAGCTAAATATCTGCTATTCATGCAGTTCATTACTTTTAAGAAGACCTTACAATTTAAAGAAAACAATTGATTAGGGCACATACGGCTTTGTGATCTGAAAAATATGTTTCTAGGATGTGGGGATTCACTTGTGATTCTGGTAAATTTGTATAAATGTGATCTATTAACGTTTGATTGTCTGTAGTGACACTAGATATTAATTGTCTGTAGTTGTAATCATTGATAAAAAAATTATATAAAGGCCTTCTATTGGCTTCATTTAACCAACTGACATTAAAATCACCTATGAAAATGTTAAATTGAGAAGTACAGAACCTCAAAACTTCATCTAATGCTGCACACAATTGTTGTAGTGGAATTCGGGGTGATCGATATATACCAATTATAGTAACATGTGGAAGAATCATTGCTTTCATAATGGTTATTTCAATGCCATTGATATTATAACAACATGGATATCCAGGTAAGAATTCAACTCTGCTAAACACTGCCATGCCACCAAAAGGTCTAGTAGTCAAAGAGTGACCATCATTTCTGAACAAGGTGTAACCATCAATATCATACATACTGGCATTATCCGAATGCATACATCGAGTTTCAGAAAAAATATTGATGTCTGTAGTTGCAAAATTAAAATTATGCCGAATATCATCAATGTGTTTATGCAACGACCGTGCATTTAGATAGCACAGTTTGAATGAGACTTGGTCTGTTTTATAAATAGGAGTGACACTTAGTTTTAGTACACGTTCATTTCTCAAATGTTCCATTTCAGCTGCTACATGAGGATTGACAGCTATTTTATCTTCACATAGATCAGTGATAAATAAACCTTCAATTGCTGTTACCCTGCTCAAACCAACATAATGTATATGTGGTATTGATCTTCTAGTGTCGAAATTTACAACAATTTTTTGTTCAGTGTCACCTTGTGAACGGTGAATTGTCTTAGCCGCAGCGGGTCTAAGTGGAAACTGTTTTCTAACAACTTGTGCAGTTTGGTTTCTACCCACAGCAAACTGAGTTGTGATTGGCTTTATTGGAGTCCATGTGGACTCAATACCTTGGACATAAAGATGTCTATTTTCATGTCTGGTTTTCTCTCCAACATCTGAATGGTCAAATTGGACCCATATTATACCAGACGGTCTATCTCTTTGATTTAATTGTATCTTTTTAACAACATTACAAGCACCATTAGTCATGCCATCGTCATTGCGTACATTTAATGCTATTTCAGTTCTTTCACCAACAGATAGTTGAAGGTTTGAAGAAATTTGTTTTGTTTTCCTTGGATCATCTGGTATTTGACTCAAAATTTTATCTCGAAGTTGAGCTGAGTTAGCTCCTATGACACTGTCTACAGCTTTAATGGTAAACTTTTCCCCAGTTGCGGCATTATGGACCTTTTCATTGAATTCGTTTACCTTCTGATTTTGTATGAACAAATGGGGCACATCCATTGACTCGTGTATGCTATTTTCCTTTATTAATCTTTCTTTGAGTTTTAAAATATCATTTTTTGTGTGCTTGCCTTCTCTCAACCTGTTCAATATTTCCGCAAATACTTTGCTCTCTCTCTGTCTCATTATTTCTTGCAGTTCAAACATTTTAAAGTAATCTTGCCATTTATTAGGAGCAAGAATTGCATATTCTGAATTGTCTAGATTCTTAAATATATACCTATCCATTACAGGTTGTAGTTGAAATAGATCACCAATTGCAACTACGCTTACACCACCAAAGTCTTGTTTACTCCCTTTGATATCTTTCAGTCTGTTGTTTATCTGAACATTAAACATTGTACTACCAACCATTGAGATCTCATCCAAAAATATTAGCTTTAAACCACCAAGTTGGCATCGTAAAGTGTTTAGCCTGCTCGAGTCAAGCGGTTTGTAATTTTTTAAAGACTGACATGCTGGTATTGCAAATGCATTATGAATTGTGTTACCTTTAATGTTGAAAGCTGCTTTGCCAGTTGGAGCAAGCATTAATAATTTTAGTTGATGGAAATCATCACCCGCTCTTGTATTATAATACTTCAATGCTGCTTGATATAAACATTTAGTGAGATGCGACTTGCCTACTCCAGCTCCTCCACTGAGAAAACAGTAGAATGGATTATCAGAAGTTTTAATAAGGTGTAACACATGATAGAAAAATTCTTTTTGTTCTTTGTTAAGTTTTTGTACCATACCTCTATAAACATCATCCTGTTCTTCATGTAATATTAGGTGTTCAGTATTTGATGCATTTGAAGGAATTCCAAGATCTCCAGATAGGTCATAGTTTGCATTCAAGTCTGGATGAAGGTCTTGTGTACCTTCAGATTCATCTTCGCGCTCAATATTTTGCGTTCCTGGTGCAATAAGGTCATAGTTATCATCATTATCTTCCATATTATTAAGCTGTTGTTGGATGTCATTCAGGTCTTCACTACAAATAGCATACTGTTTCATTTGTTGATCTATTGCATTTTTAACTTGTAAATAGCGCTCTTTGTAAGAAGGACAATTTCCTAATAAGTCAGATTTTTCGTTCCTCCATGATGTGAACAACATTACAAGTTCTCGGAAATGCTTTTCAGAATCAATGTTCTTATTAAAGCAAACACTTCGAATTATTCTAGCTTTAGATCTTTTCTTATTCTTTTGTTCACAATCTCCCTTCACATCGTCATTATCTTCCATAATGTTTGTCTCAAGTGGATAGTTATCAATATCTAATTCACATGAAGGTTTGATGTGTGGTTTACCACAACAGTCGTACCATGCAGCCCAATCAGCAAGTGATAAATTTTCAAGTTTGACTGGTCGTTTTGTGTAACGCATTATTAAACCAGATGCATAGACCTCATCGGAATCATCTTCCATATCATTGATTTCTTGCATTGGTTTAAGCAATTGAACTCTGTCCTCAGGAGGTGAAGTATTTATAAATACAACTTGGCGAGACGATTTTCTCATTGGAAGTTGCAGTACTATGTAGACTGCTTCTTGCGCACTTATTTCAACATTGTTCAAAAACGTATTTCCAATATCTCTCACTTGTTGTTTAATACTGGAGTTTCCCCTTCTTGCTTCTTCACAAGCAGTTCTCAACAGCTCACTCATGCCTTTCTGGGCTTTGGATATATATGATACAATGTACATTGCACATGCATATACATCGAGTACAAACTGAATATCCATATTTGCGCGCCATGCACTGAGACATGCAGCATTATAATTATTAATCCTTAATTCATTCGGTTTTCTTTTTAAGAATATAGTTAGAGCCTTAAGGCTGGATCGAATCGCTAACACATAATTTTGTTCTTTCAGTTTAAGATTTACCAGCAACTGGTCAAATGTAATGTCTTCCCCCTCTTTCATGTCATTCAGACGCTTCTTAATTAACTTCCAAGAATCTTTATGTTGTTCAAGTTCATTATCATCGATATCAGTATCTAATGGATATAAAATGTTAGTTGACCGCATTGGTGGTTGTGGGTAATTAAAACGACATACACTTTTGGATTTCTTTCGACAAGTGTGAGAATGACGATGAACCTGTCTGTTTACAAGTGTAAGTAATTCTTTATCCCCAGTTGGCTTTTCACACGTGATTATTTTATCAATAAATGAAACAACAACACAATCTAAATCTTCACCAAATGCGGGAGCATTTTCTAGCCATAATAACATATGAATATGAGGCGATCCTCTTTGTTGATATTCAACTCGGTAAAACCAATCTACAATTTTCCCTAGAGGTGAAACTTCGCTTAAAAGAAAGTTTTGCAAAAACTTGTGTACTTGATAATCGAAATGCCTAGCACATGTCACTGGATCACTCTGAATTAACCTGTTTTTGTGTTCCCAATTGAGGTTCTCAAGTTCATCATCAGTGTATTCTTTGTTATCAACAAGCTTACCAAGTATTCTGAGTAGATGAATCCATTGTGTTTCTGCAGAAGAGAAACTACAGAATAATGAAGCCGGTCCTAACTGCCTTATCATTGTAAATATATCCTTTTTAGCCTTTTCAAAATATGGAGGTGAACCCCTTAATGCTCTCAAAAATCTAAATCCTTGATCTTGATGAATCATGTTATCTAATGTACCTGGTTGTTTTAGTTGACCGGCAGTGATTGTGCCGCTATTTCGTTGACATTTTCTTAATGCAATTTGTGATTGCACAAGCAAAATCTTCATTTGTAATTTCTTAGTCTTAAAGGAAATATTTTCTACACACATTGCAGCCCTTCGGTCAGACCTTCTTAATTCAGATTTGCAAATGTCACTATAATGGACATCAGATAGTCTGTTTGTATTATCTGGTCGTTTCTGTCCAAGAAATATACCAGGATATGCTAATTCCTCTAAATATTTATCCCTAAATATACTCATAGGCGTACTGCCCTCACCAGGTGCGACATTTAGAATATGCTGACGTTCATTTTCAGTGAGAAAATCTGGAGATGTTAACATAGTGTCAGTGTCTCCAACAGGTATTTCTGCCTCGTCTTTACTCCAGGAATCTTCCTCATTAGGTGTTTGCTGTGTCTTACTAATATCTTCTACATCGTCACAGTCCATTTTTACTAATTCCTCCCGCGAAAGATTTTCAGTATTTCTTTCATCATAAATAATATTAGAGTTATCCTCAAGCCAAGTATCATTGAGAATTATACCTTCTTCTTTGTAAAGGTTACCGTTATTCACAAGCCATTTGGCTGCTTCTAGTACTTTGTTTGGTCTTACATTGAGTGACAAAGCCGAACTTTTGTATTGCAATCTTCTCTTTAGGTTCACTTTAATGGTTCCAGTTTCATTCGGCAACCTTGGTAACATGCCAACAGTGTTTGCTATATCTGCAGGTACATTAACAATGTTGCCGCTAATTTTTAGCTGTTTTCCTCTTGGGGCTTGCATTAGTTTTTGGAATGCTAATCTGGGAGCAAGTAATCTACATTCTAGTTCATTCAGGTCAAAAAATGCTGGCTTTTGAAGGAAATTGCATCCCATTTACGGCAGCGCATCGTGGAATTTTATTTTTTGCCAAATAATCTCGACATGTTCTGCATAGCCATTCAATATTATCAACACTTCTTTTACCCAGTAAGTGCTTTTGAATAGTTGGGTTACTTTGCCTGATTCGTGCGGCATTAAACACGCTATGTTTATACCATAGTTGATCGCAACAGGTACATACGTAAATTGGTCCATTTGAGACAATATCATGAAACTTGGAAATCAGTTTTTTTAGCGAGTGTTCTTTCTGCTTATTCTGATCAGCTGAAGCTGCAGACCTTTTCTTTTTCCTATATTCGTTCCTACACTTACGATTTTTCCGTTTATCCTCAGAGGTTTGAGCAGACCTTTTCTTTCTCATATATTTTTTTATATACTCACGATTTTTCTTTTTATCCTCAGAGGTTTGAGCAGACCTTTCCTTTCTCATATATTTTTTTATATACTCACGATTTTTCTGTTTATCCTCAGAGGTTTGAGCAGACCTTTTCTTTCTCATATAGTTTTTTATATACTGACGATTTTTCTGTTTATCCTCAGAGGTTTGAGCA